TAAATCGTTGACCGTTACGACTGTTCATCTCTCTTCTGTCACGACTGCCTGAAAATTGTTCGAAATTCACCAAGTGTCTTCACCTCGGAATACAGTCTACACTTCGGACAAATGACTCACTTCGGTTACATCGGTCAGGATACCGAAGATGACCCTACGAAGACAATAGACCACATCCTGCCGCCAACTTCTTACCGATCCAGGGTCTCTAAATGTCTAGCATAGCAACATCGACGACCATCACTCCGTATGCCCATCGATGTTGGGGGCCTCTCTGTTATCATCCGAATCGGTAAAACTACATTAAGAGATTCCAAACATCACATTAAGAGGAGAACAACCATTGAGCCGACGTAATTTTAACACCACTCCGGTCCAGACGATGAACCGGACCGAATTACTGAAGACCGAAGTGGTCCGCGCCTACCGAAGTCTATTCAAACCGAGATCGCCACCTCCTTAAGCAGGTGACAAGGTGTCTACGTACAACCATTCTGCTCCACAAGATCCGTCATCATTCATGTGGGACCCCCCTGCTCCAAACCGCCCACAAAAAGTTACTTTATTCAAAAAGTAGTACACAGATCCCAATGTATCTATCCAAAATTACTATAAATAGTGAACCCATTACATTTGTACGGGGATCTCTCTCCGAACCGAAAAAACTTCATTAAACAACACCAACACGTAAAAGCCCATCACGGCTCTTCACCTCGGTTCACCTCGGACCGGGGCCATCGTTGAAGTTACTTTACATGCTTTACGTCCAAATCATTCATAATTCTCATCTTAATCACGTATTACATCGTTGTTAGAAATCGCATAACAACAAGAACAATGTCTATCAGATATCAGATTAATGAACCCTCATCTATCGATTCTGAATACTACTCTATCAATTATTATTGAACTCTAATCTATCGATTATGAGTACATAATACGTAATGCAGTAATAAACAAAAAAAAAAGGAGAGAAATTCATACATGTCCATCATCTTCAATGGGGATTTGCGCTTTTGTAGGGTTCTTCAGAAATCGAAGTCTTTCTCTACAAAAACCCATGTTTCTTCAGGAATTGCGAATATGCCGAGAATTTGTCGGGTTCGATTTCAGTTATTTGGTCGAGGATAGAGTTAGGGATTTAGGGATTTTTCGATTTTGATTTAGGAAGTTAGGTCATCGTTTGGTCGATGAAAGAGTGAATGGGGATTTAGGGATTTACGATTTCGGTTTTAATGTAATATTTGATTTTAATTTTGGTATTTTTTAATTATGAAACGACGTTGTATTGATGAGGTGTTAATTTTGCCTCGGACGTCCTCCACGTCAGGCGAAACGTCGTCGTATTTAATCCATGTTGGATTAAGTCGCCGGACAAGCTGGCATCTGTCGGTCGGCGGGATGGTCAATGCTTGGTCAAGCAAAAAATGAAAAGGTTGGGTACCGAATTGACAAGGTCCCAAAGTCGTGATAGAATTGCAAAAGTCGATAAAGTCGTGATGTGAGGTGCAATTTTGCCTTTATTTTATGATATACGGAAATATAGGGAAATACTACAGTCCCGTTAGAGAACAATTTCGTCGGGATTTGTAACTGTTAGATCAACTAGATCATATTTTATTTCTTAAAATATGCCACTTATATAATATCATGTATAGTGTATATTTATAAAAAATAATACAAATAGCTAATGATTGCAGCACCTATAAAGTAACATCAAACCTACCGAAGAAAAAAGGGACTCCCCAAAACAAACAATTTCAAAACTTTTCAAAGCAACTCGTGCTCTATAGTACACACATTTAGGGCATCTCTAATGGTAATAGCTATTACTAGCTATATGGTTAGCTGACGTGGATGTGAGAGATACACTATTGGACCCATGTACTCCTCTCACATGATCTTGGGCTACGTGAAATAGATAAGCTATTTGTTAGTAGCTAGTGACTACTCTCTCTCTTACTTTTCCCCTGTCCACGTCATAATAGTTAGCCAAATAGCTAACCATTGGAGAAGCCCTTACACAACACGACGCCATTAAAGACAAACTTTTTCAATATTTTATTTTAATTTTGAACCAAAAAACAATTCATTTTATTAATGCCAATAATCCACAATTAATTTGAATTTTATTTTATTTTATTTATTTATTTTTATTATTATTATTATCCTCCAAAATAAAATATAAAAAAAATATAGAAAGAAACACTAGATTGAGAGTCTGTTTTGTGCTGGATTTCATTTTAACTGACCAAATATCCAAAACAGAGCTCGAGATCCATGGAGTTTAAGTTTATTACACTTCAGGCCCTCATACTCCTCCAAATCACACTTCCCACCCCAACAGCCTCCTCCAACACCTGCAACTTCCAGGCCATCTTCAACTTCGGCGACTCCAACTCCGACACCGGCGGCTTTTCAGCAATTTTCGGCCAAGCCCCACCGCCCAACGGCCGGACTTACTTCCACTCCCCCGCCGGCCGGTACTGCGACGGCCGCCTCATAATCGATTTCATGGGTACATAAAAAAAATCGAAAAGACCCCATTTTTTTTTTCACTCAAACATTTCATTCTAAAGAACCTTTTTTTTTTTTTCCGGCAGCTGAGAAGCTGGGACTGCCCCATCTGAGTGCTTATCTTGATTCGATTGGCTCGAATTTCAGCGGCGGAGCCAATTTCGCGACGGCGGGCTCCACCATCCGCCGGCAAAACACGACCCTTGCACAGAGTGGCTACAGTCCGGTTTCCCTACAAGTTCAGTACATTCAGTTTTCTGATTTTATGAGCAGATCGAAAATCATTCGAAAACAAGGTAAGAACTTTTTTCCTACCCATCATGCCTTTCTCAACGCGAAATTATGCTATAAGATGTCGTATTTTTGTTTACGATAGAACATTTCAATTTGAAAGTATGTATATTTGTTGAAAAAATAAGCGATTTCTTGTAGAAAAAATAAAATAAGAAAGAAATATGTTAAAGAATCATAAGCTGGGTTGTGTTTAGAAATGAAAAGCAAAATCTGAAAACTAAATATCAAGTAACAATCGAGCTCATAGAGAAGAAAGATTGAAAGATTGCATTAAGAGAGAAAAAGGGATCTCAGTTTTGTACAGAGAAGAGAGAAGGCGGAGAGAATGAAAAGTGTGTAAAAACTAACTAGGGTTTACAATGGAATGAGTATTTATACTAATGCTAAATAACTAAAAGTGCTAAAGAGGGAGTAGCACTTTTATTATAGAATAACACAACTAATACAAAAGATATTTAAAGGTAAACATATATAATTCTATTACCCCCGCAAGTGGAGCATGGATGTTGGGCATGCTGAACTTGGAGGTAAGGGCCTTGAAGG